TTGTATACGCCATGTATCTTCGCTTTACAAAAAAACATAAAATAAATAAAAAAACAAGTATTCGTAGACATTGGGTTCACCCCCTAAATTTAAAAACACCTCGAGAAGGTCAATTTCAAGTTAATTTTAGCTTCGACGCGAAGCTAAGAAGGTATTGGTTTTACTATGATGTGTTTTTTTTTTTGTGTGTGTCTGTTACCACTTTTTCTCAGGTCTCACCGAACGGATTTCTTTCAACGATACGTCAAAAGATCACAAATCGTATCTAGTCGAAGACATTACCCTCAAAAATTGAAAAAATTTCCCTTGTTCCCCGTAAATGGGGAAAACCTCCAAAAAAATTACAAATTTAAAAATAAAAATAATATTTTTTAATAATCCCTTTTTCATTCAGGATATTAATTAGGAAATAGCAGATCATGTAGCTTTTGGAATAATCCATCAATTTTTTAAAATTAAACACTATCTAAAGATTTGCATCGAAGCGTTTTTTTTTATAGTGATTTTAATCACTGTCAAATATCATTATACTTGATCCAACTATGCTACGTCACCACTGTACCGTGTAACCCCCCCGTGAAGGGGTTTTTTTAACTTTGAGGAGTTATCCTCAAAGAAGAATTCTTCAGGTACTACCGTATGTCTATACGCTCGTTTGATGAATTGGTAAGTTGAGTTATTTACTGTATTTTTAAATTATTAGCTGTAACATAAAAAAAAAAACATTTAAACAATGCAGGATTATATTCAAGGGCGTCATTATGAGGGAGGATTACCTCATATAATAATAATTACCCTGTAAAAATACAATTTTTTGAGAGGGGAAATAAACAATTTCTTTTGTACTTTCCCTCAAGACTGAGTACTTAGTACATCACGACTAATACTGACATGTATTTGAAATGGTATTTTCATTAAAACCATTCTTTTATTTTAGGGTGTATTATTAGTTTTAAGCTTATACTTTACAATATAAATATTATATATGTATTATTTTTCTAAGGTATACGTTTATTAAAACAATTGTTAATAAGTATACCGCAAATAGCCCCAAAAACACCACTGCGTGTACAATTGTGTAATAATAAAATTGAACTTTGTATGGTAGAAAGATTTTTGATTCATTACTTTACAAACATTAATTTAAATCAATAATATAATTCAACAATAGTTTGTTCAATTTTTAAGTTTTCAGATATTACCTTACACGTACAGAACAAAATATATTCAAAAATAGTTTTTGTTTTACAAAAAAAAAAAACATTTTATTTTAATTTTACTACTAGACCTAAATATATATATATATATAATATATATTGTTTAGGCCTACACAACAAGCCATTGTTGTTTTATTTTATCGTTGTTCGGCGGCTGCATAGTTGTCCGGCTTTAAAATTAGTTAGTCTACCTTTGTAAAGCGCACCGCTCGCGTACATTTAATATACGCATATCTATTTTTTCATTATTTTACGTTTCATTTAATTTATCGAAGATCTTTTAGTCGTAAGAGATCACGCCGAAACATATGATCCTTCGCCCGGAACGTCTAGTGAATACCGGAAACGTGAAAGTGCGAAAATTTGCGTTATTAGGGTACGTGAGTTAAGCGTTGTATGTTGTAAATAATTCTAACGCATCGAGTTAGAAAAGGGTTAATTTCTGGCCAACGTAGTGCGTAGCAGCAGCGATTGCTATACGCAGAATATAATAATATTATTATACATTATTAACGTATTTTAATTTAAAGTTCGTACAAGCGAATCAGATATCGTCATGAGTATTGTGAAACAAATATAGTTAAGTGTAAAAAACCCGTGCGCAATATTTTTAGTGTGGGCGTACAGCGGTTGTTGTGGTACTATCGTTGTACTTTGCTCAAATTACCACGAACGGTCCCTGACAGTTAATAGAGCGTACATATATACAGGGTGATTTTTTTATCACAACCCATTCAATTACTTGCAGAATAATAATAATTTAAACATTTTTTTTTTTATTATCTTTAGTTGCATATTATTCTTGAATTTTTAACTATGTAATACTTTTTAAGTTCACCCCTTATGCCTGGTAAGGGTGTCAACTTTGTTTTTTTTAATGGTAACACATATTTTTAATTTAATAAAATGTTTGAGTTTTTAATTTAATAGTAAATGGCATTTGAATTTTTAATATAACTTAATTCGTTTATAAGTTATAATCATTTAAAGTTCCAAATTTTTGAGTTAATATACAGGTATAATACACAAGGGATAACAAATATAGGTTGCTAATTGGTTTTTTATGACATTGCTGTCACAGTCACGAATTGTTTATTATGAATTATGACAACCAATAGATATACTTTTTGTATTGTGTAGTAATACAAAAAATAAGCAAAAAAGATGATGAATGTATGAGGTATTTAATTTGACCAAGGTTGGATGTTAGGGATTTGGTCAATTCAGGAGCAACGAGGTTCTATCGGGGTAGTAGAGTCCGAGGGTTTAGAACAGTAAAGACAAGTAGATATAAAAAGATACAAATTAAGTTCCTCTCATAGAGGTATTAAAACGCTGAGGTATTCTTGTAGTGGTCGGGGTCTTGGCCTCCTATCTGACACCCAGTCGAAGTATATGACCAAGCACTAACTAGTTATTAATAATTAAATTAAATGATGTTTAAAAAATCTATTGCTTTACCATTCTTTACTCAGATTATTAATTCTAAATAATTGGTTTAATATAAATTTACTTACTTCTTTTATATATCTCACGTTCAGATTTATACTTTTCCTTATTAATAAATAAATAACGTATTGACGCAAAAATAATTGTATTTGAAATCGCTATAAAATATACCGACGACAACACGGGGTCGCGGCTAGTTTGTTCAAAATAAATCAAATAGAAGAATCCTGAATTCTTTATTGAATTCAAATCTTCAAAAAGAAGAGAGAATTCTACTCTCTTAGAAAATCAGCGCCTTTTTATATTACTTTTAATTACCCCCATCATGGCTTGTAGCCGTCAGCGCTTTTAGTGATTTTCAGTTTATTGTGTAAAATTTGAACATAACATGATAATTATTTTTAAGATAAGATGCATANATGTTGTTGCCGTCAGCGCTTTTAGTGATTTTCAGTTTATTGTGTAAAATTTGAACATAACATGATAATTATTTTTAAGATAAGATGCATAGTATACAATAATCAATTTAACATGTATATACATATATAATAGCTATTGTACAAATGTGTATATGTTATGACAGATAAATTAATTATTTGTGTTGTATACAATTGGTAGTAAATATAGAGTAGTAATTTTTTATTGATAATGTAAGATGCGTAATGCAGAACATTGTGCATATTACGACAATTGTCAGTTAGTGTATTTATAAACTCACAACAATGTACCTTACTATCATTGATAATAACAATGCTGTGTACCTGCTAATATCGATGTCATAAAAAATCAATTAGCTACCTGTATTTGTAATCCCTTGTGTATTATACCTATATATTAACTCAAAAATTTGAAACTTTAAATGTTTATATCTAATAAACAAATTAAGTTTTATTAAAAATTCAAATGCCATTTACTATTGAATTAAAAACTCAAACATTTTATTAAATTAAAAATATGTGTTACCATTTAAAAAAACAAAGTTGACACCCTTNCTTTTAGAAAAACAAAGTTGACCCCCTTACAAGGCATAAGGGATGAACTTAAAAAGTATTACATAGTTAAAAATTCAAGAATAATATGTAACTAAAGATAATAAAAAAAAAAAATGTTTAAATTATTATTATTCTGCAAGTAATTGAATGGGTTATGATAAAAAAATCATTCTGTATATATATATATTAGTAACGTCAGCTGAGGCGGTTAGTGTCTTTTGGAACAATTATTTACTATCGGTAAAAACAAACTATGCCTGAAGATAATCGCAAAAATGAAATTACGCGATTAAGCATAAGGAGGGGTCATTTAAAATCAGCATTGACAAAATGTTTAAAGTTTGTGCAAGACGAAAAATCGGACCTAATTGAAATTCGGATTAGACGGAAAAAAATTGAAGAAGCATGGAGTGAGTACGACCAAATACGGTTGGAAATCGACACGCTGGAAGGGGTAAACATAGAGGAACAGCAAAATTGTAGAGCTGATTTTGAAGACTCATACTTTAAAGCCAGTGCGATTGCGGAGAAGAGGCTGTCTGAATTGAGTAGGGTAGTCATCAGCAACGCGTCAGACGCTGTTGTAGGGAATGCGACAGCAACATCTTCAATCGTAGCGACATCAACAGTAGCAGCACCAGCTATTAGATTAGCCCCGCTAGATGTCCCATCATTTCATGGCGACTATAAGCAATGGACAACATTTCATGATATTTTTTCGGCATTAATTCATACCAACGACCAATTGTCAGACATACAAACATTTTTTTTATTTGAAAGCGGCTTTAAAAGACGATGCCAAACAGGCTGTTAATTGTTTGGAAATGACGGGGCGTCAAATTACGCAGTGGCATGGCGGACAGCANGACGGGGCGTCAAATTACGCAGTGGCATGGCGGACAGCAATTGAAAGATATAACAATAAAAAAAATCTAATACAAGCCCATGTAAAAGCGTTATTTCACTTAGAGACGTTAATTGTAGAATCAGCGATTAAAATTCGAGCGTTTAC